CCCCAAAACCCCAAAACCCCAAAACCCCAAAACCCCAAAACCCCATTATTAGGCAGGAGAATGATTTAATAGCAAGGTGAATAAATATTAAAATTCATATACAAGAAATGGAGTAAGTCATGCACCAAGTTTAGCGTAGACGAGCTTGAGTTGTGGTAGAAAACCATTCAAAGTTTGATTACTTTAAAGCCTAATGTCTATCATACTAATCAAGAAACTAGTTAAAACATGCTTGAGTATTTCTTCCCTTTTAAGATGTTTCAGTAAAGGATTTCGAAAATACTTTCCAGTTATTTTGGGGTAGAGACCCTAGAGCAAGATTTACTTACAAATTTTCTAACTGTCTAACTTACTCAGAAATATTTGTTTAATGAATACTGAATCAATTTTCCCTCTAAACCTCTATTATAGCGATAGCTATTATAATCAGTTCAAGATTAAAGGTAATCAATGACTTTACTATCAATAGGAGTTGAAGAGAATGCTAATTTTAATGTCATCAAGACTTCGCTAACTTTTGACAATAAAATGGGGAAAGATAAAGGTAAACCCAAGCAGGAAGATATCTTCAAATTCTTAGGCATTCACAAGAGAAAGCAAAGAAAAAAGAGTAATTAAGTTTTTCTTAACTTATAGCTCAAACTATCAGAGTTCAGGAAGATTGAACTTACCTAGGATCTGCCTCAAGAAAGAATAGTAAATGTAAGATTATAGCCAGTTACAATTTCTTTGAATTTATTTGTACTATGATAACATCCTTATCTCCCTTATTTAGATGAAAGAGGAAGCGGATGTCACAAGAGACCCTCAATCAGAAAAGGAGATAGAATTGAGGATAGAGAATAATCAATAGGCATGGCCTCTTTAATAGTACTTTAAATAAAATAATTTGATGAATCCTTCTTCTTTGCTTCTGGCTAAGTTTTCTGGGAATATGAGTATTTTTCTCTGAGAGGTAAAGTAATAAAACTGGTAGAAGTCTTGCTGCTGAAAATTCAACTGATTCTTTCTTAAAGCATAAAAGATCTTCACTGGATTTATTAAGCATGTTATTTACTAAAATAGGATCCTAAAGCTTTGTTATCTCCCATAATGCTTTCTTAGTAATAAAAATTATAACTTTGTTTTGATACTCAGATAGAATCGATTTCCTCCATGTAGCCCTTGAAAATTTTCATAGGCAAGGGACTATATGAAACGATCAGTAAAGTAGGAATGAAGCCCTAAAATCGCATACTTGCTTTTAAACTATTTGAAATGGTTGTATATGCAGGTTCAAGGTTAAGAAATCCTTGGCAAAATTTTAGTCTATATGAAGAAGAGCTACATTAACTATCATTTTTCAAAAGCAAATAATATTCAGGAACTGTTTAATTTGTATAAAAATATAATGGAAGCCATTAAAGATAGGAGAACGAACGTCTACCGAAATTCTTCCTATTGTATTTTAGGTCTCAATTATTTGATCACTAAGGGGTTTTGGGGTTTTGGGGTTTTGGGGTTTTGGGGTTTTGGGGTTTTGGGGTTTTGGGG